AGGCCAAAGCTAGAATATGCAGCTGTTGTGTGGTGCCCATATCTTAAGAAGCACATCAACAAACTGGAAAAGGTGCAAAGACATGCTACTAAGTGGCTCCCAGAACTGAAGGGCAAGAGCTACGAGGAGAGGTTAGAAGCATTAAATATGCCAAAACTAGAAGACAGAAGAAAAAGAGGTGATATGATCACTACGTACAAAATAGTAACAGGAATTGATAAAATCGACAGGGAAGACTTCCTGAGACCTGGAACTTCAAGAACAAGAGGCCATAGATTTAAACTAGCTAAACACAGATGCCGAAGAAATATAAGAAAATTCACCTTCGCAAATAGAGTGGTAGACAGTTGGAACAAGTTAAGTGAGAAGGTGGTGGAGGCCAAGACCGTCAGTAGTTTCAAAGCGTTATATGACAAAGAGTGCTGGGAAGACGGGACACCACGAGCGTAGCTCTCATCCTGTAACTACACTTAGGTAATTACACTTAGGTAATTACACTGTAAATTTAATTCCATTCTCATTATTTCAATCATTGCATTTCTTTAACATCCAAGAATAATCCTCATACCCTTGTTCTGTATCAGCTCTATTTTTTTAATTCTGCCTTGGCCTGTGTAAGACAAAACGGGTGCTGCATAGTCTGCCAGGGACCGAACAGTGCTTATGTATAACATCCGCAAGATAGGTACCCCAACATCTTTACCAGAAAAAGCCAGTGCTTTTAGAGGATGCAGACGGGCTTTACATAAGGTGCTGATATGATTTTTTTCAGCATTTTTACTCTCACATGTGTATCCAACATACATGCCCAGATACTTGTACTTCTGAACACGGCTCAGTTCCACACCATTTAGAGTAAGTGTTATATTTCTTCATTTCCTATACTCATATTTGGTTTTGTCTGCATTTATAACTAAGCCTAACTCGTAACAGGTTGTACCAAGTATGTTACGAGCAGTTTGAATTTTGTTCCCAGAAGTGCCTTGTATAAGAATGTCATCAGCATATATGATCGTCGTGACCCCTGGAGGATACATCTCTGATGCTAATCTGTTCATTAATACCTTGAATAAGGTGGGACTTAAAACTTCCCCTGGGGGGGGGGGGTACCTAACTGAAACCTCCGTTCCTCAGACATGTATCCCTGGTAATACACCTGACCTTTTCTCCCTTGTAGATAATCCCTTATCCAATGTAGCAATCTCCCTGTTATTCCCAGATTGGCTAATTTCTACAAGATTACTTCCCCATTGGCTTTATCAAATGCTCCTTGTAGATCAACAAAAACTCTACAATTGTCATCCACATTAGACAAACACTTTAAGAGACAGTCCGCAGTACTTTTGCCTTTGATAAACCCAAAGAGATTATTGGATATGTTATCACCTACAAGGTAGAGTAGCCTATTTAACAAAATCCTTTCCATCATTTTACAAAAGCAAGATATTAAGGAGACAGGTCTGTAGCTTCTGTTTGACTTAGGTATAGGAATGATGACAGCCACCTTCCATTTTCTTGGTAACTTTCTCTCCCTATAACTCATATTAAACAAATCAAGTAAGGGACTAGGTTTCATACCGGCTAAATAATTAAGAATGTCATACGTTACTCCATCTTTCCCCGGAATAGTAGAGCTGCCACTTTTTATAGCATCCAGTAGCTCATTGTGAGTTATCTCAGTGCATGTTACAGATATTGTATTTAAAGCACAAAAGTTACTCCATTTCTAATATATGACTCAATGATGACTCTCGTGTCTGCAAGTAAGGACTCCATACCAGCAGCCCATTTATCTACTAACTCATTAGCAACCTTCCCTGGAGCTGAGTGAGCAATGAATTTGGGCTTACAACCCCTGATTTTATTTACAGCTCTCCATATGTCTTTAAGGTTCTTAGTATTACCAATGGACTGAGCAAAGTCTTGCCAGTATCTGTCCAGCGCCTCCTTCCTCACCTGACGGCATTCCCTAGCCACTTCCAACATTGTATTTTTCTCATCATCCTGGAATTAATCACTGTTAAACATCATGTTATTTTCTGCTGCCCAATCGAAAACTTTGTTGATATCTGCTTGTAGTTTTTCAATGTCTTCCGCAGAGGTAATTTTCATGCTGATTTTTGTGTCATCTGCAAAGGATGACACAAAGCTGTGACTTGTATTTTTGTCTGTATCTCATATGAGAATAAAGAAAGCAGTGGTGCAATGACTACCTTTGAGGTACAGAGCTTTTAACTGCGCTTGGGCTCGATTTTATTTGACTGACTGTTACTCTTTGTGTTCTGTTCGACAGGAAAATGTGTATCCAGCGTCCTACTTTACCAGTTATTCCCATTGACTTCATTTTGTGTGCTATCACTCCATGGTCACATTTGTCGAATGCCTTTGCAAACATCTGGATTTTGCTTTTTTTTCTAGAGCTGTGATTTTGTCATAGTGGTTGAGTAACTGTGACAGACAGGATCTTTCCGCTCTAAATCCATGTTGTCCTGGGTTGTGTAGTTCATTATTTTCCATAAAACTAGAAATTTGATTCCTAATTATTCTTTCAAAAACTTTTATTGTGTGAGATGTTAGTGCAACTGGTTTATAGTTTTTTGCTAAGGCTTTACTACCCCCCTTGTGCAGCGGAGCTATATCTGCTGATTTAAGTGTAGCCGGTATCTCCCCTGTATCCAGGCTCTTTCTCCATATTATGCTGAGTGCTCACACTACTGGTACAGTACTTTACATTTCTTAATGAATATTGAATTCCACGACTCCGGCTCAGTAGCTGAGTGCATGGGCATAATGTCAATTTCTCTTTCAAAGTCTTCCAAGTTCGTATTAATATCCGTTATATTATCTGCAGCTAGAATGTCATTCATAAAGAAGCTGTCTGGATCATCAACTTTCATGTTTATTGGTGTGCTAAACATAACCTCATACTGGCTTCTTAGAAATTTCACTAATTTCTTTGTTGTCCTCTGTGTATGTACCTTCAGTTGTAATTAAAGGTCCAATACTGGTGGAAGTTTTTGACTTTGATTTTGCATATGTGAAAAAAAAATTCAGATTTTTCTTTATCTTTTGTATAGCTTTCTGTTCCAATTCCATTTCCTCAGACTCGTATGATCGCTTCAACGTTTGTTCTATTTCTTTGATCTCCCTGTTCAGGTTTATTTTCCTTTCTTGTGATAGTCGTGTCTGCCTAAGCATTTCCATTATTTTTTTCCTTCTCCTGTACAGTCTCCTGCGTTCTCTTTCTAGAGTGGTCCTCTTTCTGACCCTTCTCACAGGCACGTGCTTCAAGCAGACCTTGTAAGCTTCAGCTGTCAGTTGAGCTATTCCCTGAGTGGGAGTTTTGTCGCTTAAGGCTGTCTCCCATTGAATGTTTGCAAGGTCTACATTTATTTTCTCCCAGTCGATCCTCTTGTTGAAATTGGATTGATTGAATACCCCTTCTCGCTTGCTGGGTCTCTTAGACCGCGATCTTAGACTCTTAGATTTCTTAGACCATTCCGCTGTAATAACAATAATAATACTGTAATAATACCAGTAATTTATTTGCAAGAGGGTACATTGGGTTGGTGAGATTACATAAGATTGGTATTTTTACATTCATGCAAAGTCACTAACATGTATAATGTTTCAGGCAGGTTCATAATCTAATATATCAGGTAAGATGAAAGAGTACATTGTAGCAAGGTTTTTATATCAACAAATAACTACAATATAAGATGACCTTTGCCCCACGAGTGCCTCGCAGGGCGATGCTCTCTCTCACTTAGTTTACAAGTCTATCCCGCATAGTGACGACCGAGGCCGCGCTTGAATTCTTTGTGAAGGATTTCATTGTTTGCCTGCTTTTTTGTTTTTAACTTAAAAGTTCTTATTATATATCATGCCATGGGTCCCAAGAAAGTCAGTGGTAAAGTTCAATCTAAGAAAATAATTGTGAGGATGATCATAGAGGAAAAACAAGAGAATATTCGTAAACATGAAAATGGTATGAGGGTTGTTGAACGAGCTAGGCAGTACAACAAATCCGTGTCAACAATATCCACAGTAATTGCTAAGAAAAAGGACATTATGAGTGCTAAAGTGGCAAAAGGCTTAACAACAATCATGAAACAAAGAACACAAACACTTGAGGATGTAGAAAAGTTATTATTAATTTGGATAAATGACAAGCAGTTAGCAGGTGATAGTGTTTCAGAGTCTATCATTTGTGAAAAAGCAAGGATGGTGCATGAAGATCTTAGTTCCCTACGTCCAATGTAGGGAAAAACAAGTGTTGCTAAATAGGTTTTTATTGAGAAAAACAAACAGTGAGCCACAAGCAGGTCCTAGTGGTATGCCTGCAAATGTAAAAGAGAGAGTGTATCCCCAGAAACGTCATTACAGCCTGATGTTACAATGGAAGGGAACTCCCCTTCCAAACACTAACACCTCTCATCCCCCTCTCCTCCTCACCGACTTCCATACGCCAACAAGAGTCCTCAATAAATGTAAGGACTTTTACATTTACCTTTTACAATGTAAGAACCTGTATATTAAAAAAATATGAGTAGTATTCTGTATAAAATGTATTTTTAAGTTAATATTTTTGAGTGTGTGCGTAACGAATTAATTCAATAGACATTATTTGTTATGGGAAAAATCGTTTCAGTTTACGATTTTTTAGTGTACGACGCGTCTCTTGTAACAGATTAAAATTGTAAACGAAGGTACCACCTCCTTATATTACTTTTGAACAGGGTATGGGTTGGACAGTTTGTTAATTCATCAGAGAGTGAGTTCCAAAGACTGGGTCCTTTTATTTGCATGGCGTGTTTGCACATATTTAGTCTGACTGGGAATATCAAAGAGATATTTATTTCTGGTGTGGTGCTCATGGGTTCTGTTGCTCATGCTCATGGGTTCTGTTGTTCATGCTCATGGGTTTATTTATATTACATAGAAAATATTGTTAATAACACCTATTAATATTAGTGTATAATGCATTATTTTAATTGCAGGTGTTCTTACAAGTACAGAGGATTTTGAAACTGGTGATGATGTTTATGAAGCAATTGGCAGTCTCTTAGCAGATGCTGTCGGTGTCGACAAGGAAGCCGAAATAAGGTACAGTATTCAAATTTTGTTTATTATTGGGGTGTGTGTTGTCATAACAAAGCAGAATTTAACACAACACAGTCTATCATTTCTTAAGCTAATCTTGCCAGTTATCATGTATTTGACCCCATAAATAACACAATAATACATTTGCTGGGCCATCCAGCTGGAGGATGTGCCCCGAGGTGGAGACCAGTCTCTGGGGGGCAGGTAGTGTGTGTGCGGGGGGGGGGGGGGGCTGGCAGGTGTGAGGGCTGGCAGGTAGAGAGTGTGCCCTGGGGGGGGGGGACAGGCAGAGTGTGCCCTGGGGGGGGGGGGGCAGGCAGAGAGTGTGCCCTGGGAGGCAGGCAAAGTGTGCCCTGGGGGGCAGGCAGAGTGTGTGCCCTGGGAGGCAGGCAGTGTGCCCTGGGGGGGGGCAGGCAGAGACTGTGCCCTGGGGGACAGGCAGAGTGTGCCCCAGGGGGGCAGGCAGTGTGTGCGCCCTGCGGGGGCAGGCAGAGTGTGCCCTGGGGGGCAGGCAGAGAGTGCCCTGGGGGGGGGGGGCTGGCAGGCAGAGTGTGCCCTGGGGGCAGGCAGTGTGTGCCCTGGGGGCAGGCAGAGAGTGTGCCCTGGGGGCAGGCAGAGAGTGTGCCCTGGGGGGCAGGCAGAGAGTGTGCCCTGGGGGGGCAGGCAGAGTGTGTGCCCTGGGGGGGCAGGCAGTGTGTGCACTGGGGGGCAGGCAGAGAGTGTGTCCCGGGGGGCATGCAGAGAGTGTGTCCTGGGGGCAGGCAGAGAGTGTGTCCTGGGGGGCATGCAGAGAGTGTGTCCTGGGGGGCATGCAGAGTGTGCCCTGGGGGGCATGCAGAGAGTGTGACCTGGGGGGGCAGGCAGAGAGTGTGTCCTGGGGGGCAACCGGAGAGTGTGCCCTGGGGGGCATGCAGAGTGTGTCCTGGGGGGCAGGCAGTGTAATTACCTAAGTGTAGTTACAGGATGAGAGCTACGCTCGTGGTGTCCCGTCTTCCCAGCACTCTTTGTCATATAACGCTTTGAAACTACTGACGGTCTTGGCCTCCACCACCTTCTCACTTAACTTGTTCCAACCGTCTACCACTCTATTTGCGAAGGTGAATTTTCTTATATTTCTTCGGCATCTGTGTTTAGCTAGTTTAAATCTATGACCTCTTGTTCTTGAAGTGCCAGGTCTCAGGAATCCTTCCCTGTCGATTTTATCAATTCCTGTTACTATTTTGTACGTAGTGATCATATCACCTCTTTTTCTTCTGTCTTCTAGTTTTGGCATGTTTAATGCTTCCAACCTCTCCTCGTAGCTCTTGCCCTTCAGTTCTGGGAGCCACTTCATAGCATGTCTTTGCACCTTTTCCAGTTTGTTGATGTGCTTCTTAAGATATGGGCACCACACAACAACTGCATATTCTAGCTTTGGCCTAACAAAAGTCATGAACAATTTCTTTAGTATATCGCCATCCATGTATTTAAATGCAATTCTGAAGTTAGAAAGCATCGCATAGGCTCCTTGCACAATATTCTTTATGTGGTCCTCAGGTGATAGTTTTCTATCTAGAACCACCCCTAGATCTCTTTCTTTATCAGAATTCTTTAAAGATTTCTCACATAATATATAGGTTGTATGGGGTCTATGTTCTCCTCTTCCACATTCCATAACATGACATTTATTAACATTAAATTCCATTTGCCAGGTGGTGCTCCATATACTTATTTTGTCCAGGTCTTCTTGAAGGGCATGACAATCATCTAAATTTCTTATCCTTCCTATTATCTTAGCATCATCAGCAAACATGTTCATATAATTCTGTATACCAACTGGTAGATCATTTATGTACACAATAAACATCACTGGTGCAAGAACTGAACCCTGTGGTACTCCACTTGTGACATTTCTCCATTCCGATACATTGCCTCTGATTACTGCCCTCATTTTTCTATCAGTCAGAAAATTTTTCATCCATGATAGAAGCTTACCTGTCACCCCTCCAATATTTTCCAGTTTCCAGAACAACCTCTTATGTGGATCTCTGTCGAAAGCCTTTTTTAGGTCCAGATAGATGCAGTCAACCCAGCCATCTCTTTCCTGTAATATCTCTGTGGCCCGATCATAGAAACTGAGTAAATTCAATACACAGGATCTTCCTGATCGAAATCCATACTGTCTGTCTGATATTATATCATTTCTCTCCAGGTGTTCTACTCATTTAGTTTTGATTAGCTTTTCCAATACTTTCACTATTACACTTGTCAATGATACAGGTCTATAATTGAGGGGGGTCTTCCCTGCTGCCACTTTTGTAGATTGGAACTATGTTAGCCTGTTTCCACACGTCTGCTACGATTCCTGTACACAGGGATGCCTGAAAGATCAGGTGAAGTGGAATGCTGAGCTCAGATGCACATTCTCTCAGAACCCATGGTGAAACGCCATCTGGGCCAGCTGCTTTGTTCCTCCCGAGCTCCTTTAGCATATTTTCCACTTCATCTCTAGACACCTCTATCCGCTCTATGTTGTTCTCTGGAATTCTTATTGTGTCTGGTTCTCTGAAGATTTCATTTTGTACAAACACACTTTGGAACTTTTCATTTAATGTTTCACACATTTCCTTTTCATTTTCCGTGAATCTGTTTCCCATTTTCAACCTCTGGATATTATCCTTTACCTGCAATTTGTTGTTTATGAATTTGTAGAATAGGCCCGGTTCTGTTTTACATTTATCTGCTATCCCTTTTTCAAAATTTCTTTCTGCCTCTCTCCTTACTGCTGTATAATTGTTTCTCGCATCTTTGTATCGCTGGTATGTTTGGGGGTTTGGCCTCTTCATATACTGATTCCATTTTTGTGTCTTTTGGTCTGTTGCCCTTTCACAATTTCTGTCGAACCAATCCTGTTTTCTGGTCCTGCATCTCTGTTTTGGTATGAATGTTTGTGTGCCTTCCTCGTATAGTTTTAAAAATTTGGCATACATTTCATTTACTTCCCTGCCTAGCAACAATTCTGTCCAATTAACCTCATTAAAAAAATTTCGAAGTTCCCCATAGTTGCCTCTCTTTAAATCGAGTTTATCAACTGTTTCAATGTCCCCATTTTCTTCTAGATGATATCTTAAAGCATATTTAATGTCTAACAGGACGTGATCACTCTTTCCCAAGGGAGGAAGGTACTGGATGTCAAAAATCTCTTCTTCTTTCCTGGTGAATACTAGATCCAGTACTGACGGTATATCTCCTTCCCTCATTCTTGTGGCTTGCTTTATGTGTTGATACAAGAATGTCTCCAGAATGAGGTTCACAAATCTGCATGTCCAAAAGTCCTCCGTTCTTGCTTCATAGGCCTCCCATTCTATTGCTCTAAAGTTGAAGTCCCCCAGTATCAACAGTCGTGATTTATCTTTATCTGCTTGTACAATAATATCTCTCATGACCATTATGAGGCCCTCTCGTTTGTCATCCAGTTCTTCCTTTGTCCACGTGTTGCTTGCTGGTGGGCTGTAGGCATTTACAATTATCAGGTTATCATCCTGATTCCAGACCTGCAATGCCATTATGTCAATATCTCGAGGGTTTTCAAATATTAACTCTTTTACCTTCAGGTGTTTTTTCACCAGTACAGTCACTCCTCCTACCTTCCTAGTTTTCCTGTCACGTCTCCAAACTGAGTAGCCTCTTGGGAATATGACTTCAGTGTGTGTGTCCTGGGGGGCATGCAGAGAGTGTGTCCTGGGGGGGCATGCAGAGAGTGTGTCCTGGGGGGCAGGCAGAGAGTGTGTCCTGGGGGGCATGCAGAGAGTGTGTCCTGGGGGGCAGGCAGAGAGTGTGTCCTGGGGGGGCAGGCAGAGAGTGTGTCCTGGGGGGCAGGCAGAGAGTGTGTCCTGGGGCAGGCAGAGAGTGTGTCCTGGGGGCAGGCAGAGAGTGTGTCCTGGGGGGGCAGGCAGAGAGTGTGTCCTGGGGGGCAGGCAGAGAGTGTGTCCTGGGGGCAGGCAGAGAGTGTGTCCTGGGGGCAGGCAGAGAGTGTGTCCTGGGGGCAGGCAGAGAGTGTGTCCTGGGGGGCAGGCAGAGAGTGTGTCCTGGGGGGCATGCAGAGAGTGTGTCCTGGGGGCAGGCAGAGAGTGTGTCCTGGGGGCATGCAGAGAGTGTGCCCTGGGGGGCAGGCAGAGTGTGTCCTGGGGGGCAGGCAGAGAGTGTGTCCTGGGGGGGCAGGCAGAGTGTGTGTCCTGGGGGCAGGCAGAGTGTGTTCTGGGGGGCAGGCAGAGTGTGCCCTGGGGGGCAGGCAGAGAGTGTGCCCTGGGGGGCAGGCAGTGTGTGCCCTGGGGGGCAGGCAGAGTGTGCCCTGGGGGGCAGGCAGTGTGTGCCCTGGGGGGCAGGCAGAGAGTGTCCTGGGGGGCAGGCAGAGTGTGTGCCCTGGGGGGCAGGCAGAGTGTGTGCCCTGGGGGGGCATGCAGAGTGTGCCCTGGGGGCCATGCAGTGTGTGCCCTGGGGGGCATGCAGAGAGTGTGCCCTGGGGGGGTATGCAGAGTGTGTGTCTGGGGGGCATGCAGAGAGTGTGTCCTGGGGGGGGCATGCAGAGTGTGGCCTGGGGGGTATGCAGAGTGTGTCCTGGGGGGGTATGCAGAGTGTGTGTCCTGGGGGGCATGCAGAGTGTGTGTCCTGGGGGGGTATGCAGAGTGTGTGTCTGGGGGGCATGAAGAGAGTGTGTCCTGGGGGGGCATGCAGAGTGTGCCCTGGGGGGCCATGCAGAGTGTGCCCTGGGGGGAATGCAGAGAGTGTGCCCTGGGGGGCATGCAGAGAGAGTATCCTGGGGGCAGGCAGAGAGTGTGTCCTGGGGGGCATGCAGAGAGTGTGCCCTGGGGGGGTAGGCAGTGTGTGTCCTGGGGGGGCATGCAGAGAGTGTGTCCTGGGGGGCATGCAGAGAGTGTGTCCTGGGGGGCAGGCAGAGAGTGTGTCCTGGGGGGGGCAGGCAGAGAGTGTGTTCTGGGGGGCATGCAGAGAGTGTGTCCTGGGGG